AGTCCGCCTTTTTATCTTTACGAACTCCGATCTATTTTTCCTCACGAACTCCGATAAAAATTTCAATACTGAAGACGGTTTGATACACTTTTACGAACTCCGATCCAAATTTTGTCACGAACTCCGGGACCTTTTATCATGTTCGTTACAAACTCCTAATAGTTTTTTGTCACGAACTCCGAACGTTTTTATAACGAACTCCAGTTATTTGAGTATCTGATCGGAGTTCGTATCCGAGCGGAAGTTCGTTTTTGAAAAATCGTGACGAAATGATGGGGACTCGATTAATTAGTCTATGCTGAAATAACTTTTTAGGACTTATGCAAGCCATATGAGGAGGTATTTTTCAATTTTCAATTTTTCTTTAAGGTTTCACTTCAAACCAAGTAGATATTCGTCATCGTGGCCGAAAACTGGATCGAAAGAGGTGTGACATAAGGAATTCGCCATCGAAAGAAGCTCCTCTCTACTGGCTTAATCATCCCGAGCGAGCGAAAGTGAGCAAAAATTGTCGTGCAATATCTTACCAAATTAGAAATTTGGCCAGGATTATAAATATAAACTGCATTTGATTAAAACTTCGTGATGGGGCGAAAGTCACACACACAAGAACAAAAATAATTTTGGTTAAAGTAAGCCTAATAGAACCTAGAATAGAAAATTTTAAATAGACCCATTTGTCACTGGTTTTAAGGTCGATATACTGTTTTTCAATTATGTAGTACTCCTTTTTACATTATTTTGCATATTCACATGTCAGAATAATCATTTACTAAATAATTAGATAACACTCGATTTTTCTCATAGTCCCAAGTAAACATCACCTGTGGGAAAAATCTAGATACATCTCGTATATAATCAGGCGATACACGATTAGTTGCAATCTAAATTACTAGTTGGAAAAGGGACTTTTAACTAGATGATCAGTTGATAACACCTTATGAGTTCAGATTTTGTATAAATCCAAGCGTTCTAAAAAATCAGAGTTATTCGGATCTATTTTGGCCTAGTTTATTTCCCCGCTTTCTCAACATTCCGGCTCTATTTTTGTGAGATTACAGAATGAGATCACTATTGCTGCTGAATAAAAGTTGATCACTTCAAGTCAAAAGAAACTTACTTTCTAAATCTTCTAATACTCCTTCTAATGGAACATCATGATATGCCCGATTTGGTTCATCATTATATTTTCAATATAATACAAATATCCTTTTGTTAAATGATATGGATCTTTAATCTGATCAATTTCTGTTTGTTTAAGACTTGTTGAAAGTGTTTGTGATGCAAAATGTATTGTATCATCTTTAGCTGTACGTAATATTTCACAGATGTCAATGACGCTTTTCGCTTTTAATGTTTTAAATAATTCTTTATTAAATGCTAAATTATATAATAAAATAACACAATAAGCCACAAGTCCAACATCAACATGAAACAACTGATGATTTCGATGTACACTATCAGTCAATGCTGGTGTATCCAATATTGAACTAATATTATCAATTACAAGACCGGAATAAAACTCCTTCTTGGTTGAAGGAGTCAGAGCGAAATAGTTCAGCAGTTTAATATGACATGATAAGGCTTGCATTCGTGCACCTTTTTCTTTACTTGATTATTTCTTTCCCAGTTATTATATAGTGGATCAATAATATCGTCACCTTCAAGAATAATTGGGAAGTGTTTAGTAAATATTAGCTGAGTATTTTTCAACATTGGTTTACATAATTCCGTCGCTATTTTATCTTGCCATTTATATCCATGCTGTAAAATAAAATCAGGACATTCACGAATGAAAAATAATTGCTTTGGATCAAATAACGGTTGTCGTAGATTAACTGTATCAAAAACAGTGAGATAATATTTTGAAACAAGACATTTAACAATGGAATCTAATAGAAGATCGATATCAATATCGTTTAGTTTTAAACAGAGGCGAAGTAGTCGATCAACAACTTTATATCTAACATGCTGTGCATAATACTCATTTTTAGCTAAATCAGTAATAGTTTGAGCTAGGTTAGTGAGAAATCATTTTGTTATAAATATATCTTGATATGATTGCTTATCATATTCTGCTGATGTTTTTTCGACTTTTTTTGGTAAAGGTGCAGATATCACATCTTTCAGCGTACTAGCAACAGCTTCTGTTTTCGGAGTTATCTATTTACCAGCAACAAGTTTTATTGATGGTACAAATACATGTTGATGATGATTAATGTGGGAAATGCTGTCAGCGACGTCTTTCTGGTTATCAATTTAAATTAACCTGCTAGCAATAACTTTTGTTGGTGGTGCTATTATGTGTTCATGATGATTGATACAAGGTATTTGATCTGCAGTATGTTTATCATAGATTATTTTTAGTTCACTAAGAAATAAGAAATCGTATTAAGAGGTCAATAGGTATCATGTAAGTTTTTAGCGGTCTCAGTACATCCACAAACTGATGTATTATAACTTTCAATTTTCAATGCAATTAATGTTTTACGGATTTCATTAACGTTCTTTCTTACATAAATCATTCTCCTGATAGTTTTCACTAAGACACATGATGACTTCCACAATGCGCTCTGACTCCTTCAACCAAGAAGGAGTTTTATTCCGGTCTTGTAATTGATAATATTAGTTCAATATTGGATACACCAGCATTGACTGATAGTGTACATCGAAATCATCAGTTGTTTCATGTTGATGTTGGACTTGTGGCTTATTGTGTTATTTTATTATATAATTTAGCATTTAATAAAGAATTATTTAAAACATTAAAAGCGAAAAGCGTCATTGACATCTGTGAAATATTACGTACAGCTAAAGATGATACAATACATTTTGCATCACAAACACTTTCAACAAGTCTTAAACAAACAGAAATTGATCAGATTAAAGATCCATATCATTTAACAAAAGGATATTTGTATTATATTGAAAAAATAATTGATGAACCACATGACTTCCACATGATGAGACTTTCACAAGCTACAAGACTGGCTAACTTAAGAGTTTTGGAATCCAATTCATTCATTAGAATTTTTTTATAACAGTCCCGCGCTCAAGTGTCCTCTACAAATTGGGAAAATTTAACAAAAATATTCAAAACTAAAAAATTTCTCTAATTTTTAGCTAAGCGAAAATATTTTCACAACACGTTGAACGAAATTTCGCACGAAGGAAGCATTTTCAAGGGAAAGTAGGGGTACGAAAGTTGTTAAAAATCAGATTTCCTGGAATATGAACGAAGGATTTTTCAAAATTCGTTAAACCGGACTTTTAAATTAAATTTTAAAAACCGTATTTTTCAATTTAAAGATCGAGTTTAATGAATTTTGAAGGATCCTTTGTTCATATTCCAGGAAATCTGATTCTGAACAACTTCGTACACACACTTTTCCTTGGGAATGCTTCCTTCGTGTGAAATTTAGTTCACGGTGTTTATAACCGAGGTTGTATATAGAAATCTGCAAATTTAATTACACTTTTGCAGAAGAACATACCCATACCGAAAACGGTTGTAGGGTGAAAATCAGGAAAAATATGAAAACAAACGTGTGTTCACACTTTTTCGATATTTTTCCATAGCCATCACAAGTTTAATGTTTTTTAAATAGGGGGCTAGCCTAGAAATAAGACGGATTTGCTGCCGGCAACTCAGTGGTGCCTCCCGCTACCGCAAGAGGTAACCGAACCCTGTAGATATTTCGAAAAATACTACTGGCGGGCTGTACGTTTTGATGCTGGTATCAGACAACTGGCACTTTTGTTACAACTTTAAATCAGGGAACGTCTCTCTCTGCTGTGAAAGAATTTCAGAATAGCAGAGAAATGTACAAACTTGATTCAAATCTGTGTTTGACTGCTGATGTATCCAATTCGGGCCGATTATAACAGAGCAATTTCATGCTCGCTAACCATACAGAAGAATGAAATTTAATGTGACAAGATACACAAATCATTTTACAAGAAAGTATCGTTGCTGACAGAAAGACTTAGTAGTAAGGTGCACGTAAAGCAAATTTCGAGCACTTTTTGTTTTTCGCTAAAAGGTACACCATCCGATGCAGAATTTACATACAAAAATGAATTTCAAACGTAACAACTACAAATCATATTCAATTTTTGTCTGATTCGCCGAACTTTGATATGCTGCTTCTACAACTACCATCGTCTTCAATGCATCATCCACTGATGTTGGTATCTCATCTGTTTCCTGATTTGCGATTCTCATTACAGATGCCATTGGACCCAAAAATGAATCTGGAAAACGATTCCCTTTCAACGGAATCTCTACCCACCTTCCATTCATATCGTTTGTACACAATTCTAAATGATCTTGATCTTTCTGATCGCCATATTCCAGTTGCAGACCCATTTGTGCACGTAAGACACCATTATCACCTTCAATTTTTAAATATGAATCAGCATATTTAACTCCCCATCTATGAAAGTGATTAGTATGTAAGGTAACATAGAGAGAAGGATCATGATCTGCGTAGGATAGTGAGAGATGTGTACGAACTGAATCTAATTTTGGTTGACTAATATGTCTACATGTATGACATTGAATGGAAGTCGGTTCCCATGGTGAAAGTAAACTACGAATTAAATCAATGTAATGTATTGAATGATAAGTTAATTCCATGTGTGTTACCTGCATATAGGAGGAAATAGAAGCAAGAAGAATTTCAAAAAACATAAAGCGACAGGGGTTTGGGAAGAAGCGTGCCTGTAGTTCATGTTACTGAGGGATTTGCGCACGAGAACAAGATACTAATACGTTTAAACGAGAAACGATCTTGAACGACATACTACCAGAAGTTGAGACAATAGAAGATTTTTGCAGCCGCTTACTTAGTGAACAAGTCCGGCAGTGTTAAGACGATGTGTCCCCAATTATCTTGTGCAGTTTAACGAAATGCTTCTCTGTTAAACTTAGAGGGCACAACCAACGCAGAACACTGACTTTTGGATGGGACACCAACTTTCAGTAGAAAGGAAAAAGGTAAACTTAGAAAATGTGAAAAATAAACGGTTTCGAAGTTGTCACATCGTTTTCGATAAAATTCTAAAAAGACGGGTCTTCCTTGAATGCGTAACCCAGAGCTGAAGCGGTTTTAGTCGGGAACTCCGGAAAATATTTCAGGCGGCCGATTTTGCCATCAAGATGTCGACTTTTCAGAGAAGAATAACTTTTTCAATACGCAATCGCGTTTTCTTATTTATTTTTTCTTTTAATTTTCGTTTTTCTTGAACCTCATTTCTCACTCCTTCAAGAATAGCAACAAAACACTGGTAGCGGCATATATTTACACTTCAACCCGCCGGTTTCTTGTCGGCTGAAAGTATTTATTTATCAACACATTGGTGATAGAGAGGAAAAATACAAACTTCGTTTGATAGGAAAGCGGTGGGTGGTTGCCGTCTTCACTAATCGAAAGCTAGAAGCTAACTGCATCTTTTCACAATAAAAGTCATTTCAAAATCTTTTCCTAAAGCAGGTTTTTCACGAGACCTTGGGAAACATAGATCATTACTCCAAAAGTTGAAGTACAAATAGTTTGATTTTTTCTGATGAATAGATAGCCCAAAGTGTCCTCTTCAAAATCGGAGTCAAGCGAGACTCTCATCTTCGATCGTTTAGGCCTGGCGTCGGATTTCCTGAGAGTCGCAGGACTAGTCTGTTTTCACATGTTAAAACCCCAGAAATCACTGTAGACAAGGGTTATCGACGCTGCTAAATCTCATGGCAATATTTGCTTTTACGAAGAGTTCAAAAATCTGCTGAAAACTAAGTTTTACAAATGCTAAAGTTTCCAGGCTGTTTTCACCTAATATTAAAAAATTTACAAGTCACTAAATAAACAGCAGGAGGAGCTCAACTTAAGAATATAGCTAAATTTGTCTGATAAACGTGATTATATCATCGAAAAAGTCGAAAACTACACTTTCACTCCGAAGTTTTCTAGAAATCGTTTCGTAAAATCATCGAGCTTTGCAACCTTGTTTTTCCAGATTTCTTTTAACTATGATGTAGAATGACATAATAACTCGATATTCTGAAGTTTTGAGTTCGTTCTGTTGTTTATTTAGTAAATTGTAAATTTTTTAATATTAGGTGAAAACAGCCTGGAAACTTTAGCATTTGTAAAACTTAGTTTTCAGCAGATTTTTGAACTCTTCGTAAAAGCAAAT